TTCCTTTCCTTTCCTTTCCTTTCCTTTCCTTTCCTTTCCTTTCCTTTCCTTTCCTTTCCTCCTTCCTTCCTTCCCTCCCTCCTTCCTTTTCATCCTCTATCTATCTATCTATCTATCTATCTATCTATCTATCTATCTATCTATCTATAGTGTTTGTTAGGACTTCATATAGCTATCTATAGAGGGAGCATGTTTTAGCCTAAAACCTTAAAATAACCCAGATGAGAACCATCTATTGGTCAACCAAAAAAGACAAAGTGAATACTGAGTGATTTAGATTAAACCAGCCATTCCCAAACAGATGTCTGAAATGTGTTTGGCCATAATTTCTACCAGTCCCAACCAGCCATGCTGCAGGATACCAATTCAAGGAAGGCTGCGACACATGGGGAAATTGGAGAAACAGGTTAGTTATGTCATTACCGTCAACTGGGGGCATTTTTAATCTCATTTTGGGCTAGCAATTTGAACGCTGCAATCAAATATGCACACACTTAGAACTAAGCCTTCTTGAATCAAATTAGTCTTATTTCTGAGTAAGCATGCCAATGATTGCATTTTAATATGCTTTTTAATGAAAACTGCAATAGTTTGGGTGATTATTACTTTATCTGGAACTGCTGAATGAATAGCTGTTGATGTGTAGTGAATTTAGGAGAAATTCCTATTACAAACTCAGCTGATAGCCTATACAGTGTGGAAAGAAAGATACCCCCTCCTCTGTAATATTGATGTGACATTTTGTTGACCCTCAGTAATTTGTGGTTTAATAACCCATAGGATTATGTGTTAAAATTTAATAACCCAACTAATTGCTATAAATCCGTGACTTCATAAATAATAAAAACCTGTTTCAGTGCTAAATTCACTCACAAGAGGGCAATCTAGAACTGTATAAACCTCACATGATTGGTGAACAGCAATGCATGTGTTAATTCTTGCAATTACTCTTCAAACATCCTCATAGTTTAGACAAGGGGTGGAATTTTGTTTATTGAAGAATGGTGAGAAGTACATTTATGACAGAGATTGACTGTAAAATGCATTTAATATGCACCAAAATAGTTTTGCAAAATATTAATAATGGTGGTCAGAGTGTGTAATCATTGAGAAGCTGTATTGATATTTAATAACTAGAAATCCATTCCTCACACAGAAATGCATATTGCTTATGAAAGTCAGTGATACTTCCAATATTAATTCCCATCTTAGAACTGTTGCTAAACATTCATTTCTAAAGCAGTGCCCTATCTAGGATAGACAAATATTCTCTTATTCTAGTGGGTATTTCCATTGCCTTTAACTTTATCCTGCTTATCTTTGATAGATTATAAGTCCCCAGGCAGAAGCTGTTGCTAGGGAAACCATGTCATAATAAAACTGCTAGTCAAAAAGATACTAGAGCAACTTTTACAATTCCCTTAGCGAGCTCTACTGAGGCTTTAGCTCAGTGCCAGCATGTGCAGAAGATGAATGGTTAGCATTCTTGTTATTGCTGTTTTAAATATCTTAGCAAGATTAAGGCAGAATTCCACTTGAGGCCCCCCAAAACATTTTCTTTCATTGTAGATAGTATTGGGTAAAATGGACCAGCATAAGATAGTTTCCCCCTATTGACTGACTCCTTTATACTATATATCCTGGTTTCTTCTAACAAGTGAAACGTTAAACAAATAAGCAAGAAATTGACTTGTGAGTTATTTAATGTGGATTCCTGATGGCAGGAAGAGACAGTTTAGTACTCTTTATACATTTTGGATGGGAAAAAAAAAACCCAACTCATCAGAATGATCAATGGTCAAGAGTTTTGGGAATTACAGGCAAAATATTTGGAGAGACAAGGTGGAGAATTGGGTCCAATGTAACTTGATGAGTCTAATCAAAATATGTTCTTTTTAAAATTATGTTGCTTTGAATGAATGGCCTGTAAACATACAAATAAGAGACACAATATCAATTATTTAAAAATGCTTCTTGGACAATAATTCCAGCAGTTGATACAGAATCCCAGAATCTCAGAATCGTGCAGTTGGAAGGAACCCCAACAATCATCTAATCCAGTGTTTCTTAACCTTAGTAACTTTTAAGATGTGTGGACTTCAACTCCCACAATTCCCCAGCCAGCATGTGTTTTAGTCACAATTTGCGTAACCCATTCTTGATGCCAGATACGTTCCTCAGAGATTATCATCTCAAATGCCAAAATAATCCAATGCTTGCCAGGATTACAGAATTACCTTGAACTTTGTGCTCATATTCATCCTGAAGTTCTGCAATGGCAATTGCGTGGCTATTTTCCATCTCTAAGACTGCCATTTCCTGAGTTGCTGCAATGTCTTCCACCTGTTCAAATAAAAAAGTACAAATGTAAGAATAGGTAAAACTAGCTATGGGGGCTTTAAAAAACGATTGGACAAATCCATTCATGATACAGTTCCTAATGGCTAGAAACCATGATGGTGATACGCTATAATATATTTAGAGACAGGAAATACCAGTTGCTGGGGAACAACAGCAGAAAAGACCATAGCAATTATCTCTGTGAGTTTCTTGTAATATCCCAGTTGAATTTTATGAAAAACAGGAGGTTAGACTTGATAGGTCTAATCCAGTAGAGTTCTTATATTCCTGAATCACATTTTTCTCAGCAAGTTCCTCCTAACAGCTATAAAGATAATTGCTTGAGGAGCCAAAAACTTGATTAACAGATTTTCTTCCAATCCACCTTTCAACTAGCCTCTACATGAATGACATCTATGAATCTTTTATTGTATTTGTGGATCTTTTGAAATACAGCAGGCTGCCTTAAGCTAGGGCAGAAAGCATGAGTCCCCACAGCTGACTTGCAAAGATTCTACATGATTGCAGTTAAGAGTCTTTCCTACGATATATGAAGAGGACAGGGTTGAATTTGACTTTTGTACATGCATAGCACAAGCTGCACCCTTTAGGTCTGCCAGTTAGGGGTTTCCTAAGGACCCCAGAGATTTAACCTTAGATTTTTTGTATACCTATCAGCTATAGCCTTCATGTCCAAAGGTCTGTTTATATATTACACTTTCCTACATCAGGCTGAAGTCATCCAGAAGCCATGGTTGGACAGAACACCACAATATATGATTTTTATCTACTGCAGTCTTCCCAATCTGTATTTAAAGCATTTCTTAAGTAGTACAACTAGAGTGACTTACCAAGTTAATAAAATACCATACCACTATCTCTATCAAACTCCCAGATTAATAGATAAACAAGAAAAAGCAGCAGGTAAAATTATTTTTCCCTGACCTGCTCAATCCATTCTTAAATTGAATTTTAAAAAGGTTCTGCCTGGTTCCAATGAGTTTTCCTAGAGAGGGCATTCCACAAATGGAATGCCATGAAGAAAAACATTGTCTAGTCACTATCTATAATTTCAGATGATTATTGGGCATCAGGATTATGGGGCATGGTTTCGATGATCAAAAGCCAAAATTGTGTTTTAGCTGCAATTTACAGAGATAGTATGTGTACATTTGAGTCTGCCTGTCAAAGCATGGATTGTGGTCAGTGCCAAGTGAACTTACACTGAATGAACATGACCAACCTGTTCTTGATGCTGACTCTTGATTCTGTCAAGCTGGACCTGATGGTTCTCTTGCAAATGCTCTATTTCAGCACTATATTGTAACTGTAAGCGTTCTTCAAGTGCCTGGAGCTCTTCCTGATGTTGCCAACCCAGTTTCTGCACAGTTCCCTCAAACTTCTTTTCCATCTCCTCCTTCTCTTTTTGTAGTGTTTCGTATCTCCCTGTGTTGAGGGCTGAAGACAGAAGAACCACACATTAAGGATCTGCAGAAAAGCCAGGACTGAATTGATTGCTTTTAAAAATAAGGATGAAGGATATTCCCTTGAGCAAAATGGCATGACATCCTGAAATGGACTGTGCTCATTATCACAAAAGGAGTAAATCAGGTCCTGCCTCCATGAAAAGCATCCAGTGACATATTCAACCAATGGGTAGGAGGCTCAATTTGCTTTCTAGATGGTTCTGAAGTCATATCTGGTAATATATTTATAGAGACCAGATTAAGCATGATCTGCAGATCCCATCAATTCCTTCTGCATCTTGTCATTAGGACACCTCTTGCATAGTGAGCACTGCCAAAACCACCACCCCTGCCTCTGCCCATGGACATAGTATTTTAAAATTTTTATTTTTACTTTATATTCTGAACACCAAACACTTTTTCCAATATCGGGTGTATCTGACATGCAGCAATTCTAGATACTGGCTGGCACCTCAGGAAGACAAATTCACTAATGTTGCCACTGTAATCCTTTCAGCAAATAGCTTGATTTAGAACTATCATTTATTTATTTTTTTTCAACAATATTCTCAATAACATTACTTCATGCAAAATTGGATATTTAAGGGGCCATTTTCAGACTTAGCATGCTGCCAGCTGGTAAGGCAGAATGTACCTGAGCACTTTTTCAAGGGGTGGCTGGAATCTGGAGCCAACCATTGTTGGTTAACAAAGTTAAATAACTAAAGAAATGAAAGTTCCCATGGCTATTTTGTCACTTGAAAAAACTAGTAAGTGAAAAGACTGCATAAAGCTATGACTCTAACATACTCCCAAGGAATATATAGAAATATTACATGAAATTTATATGCCATCCCAATCTGTCACAATTCTGGGTAGTTTGCAAAAATGCAAGAGTAAAAACAGCAAATAAAAAATGAAGAAATGTTTGCTTTAGCTCTATAGATGTGCAACATTCTTCACAGTCCCCTTCATATATTCCTGACATTAGAGATTCCACGAATTGCTGACTGAAGCAGCCATTTATGATAATACACCCATGGTAGAATTTTGTACCCAAGATATGCAAAACATCAAACTGAAACTAACTCATGACTTAGATTCAAAAAGATTTTTGCAATCTGCATTTTAATTACTGTTAAATATCTTGAGGACTTGCTAGAGTAAAAATGCTGGCTATAAATCAAATCAATGAATAAATGATAGACAGACGTTCCAAATGCCAGCGTTTCTGCATTTACAAGAGCCCGCAACTGAGAGCTTTTCTAAACCACCTTGATTTGAAGCGCTTATGAAAGAGGGAAGACACAGGAAATATGCTGAGAAAGCTCAGGGCAGACATCACAACAATAAGCCAATCTCAAATTGGGATGACTGCAGTGCTCCACAAAGATATGGCACCACTGTTCCCATATATTGGCAAAAATGCAGCATTGTGGTCAAACCAAACACTAAAAGGCAGAATTGATAAAATAAACTCTTTAGTATACAATGAAGAAATGGGAGATTTACTTTTTCTGCTTATTCACCTTTTCTGTATTTTTCTTTATTCTTTTTCTTTTCTTTAAATCTGAATGTTTACTTTTATTACTGTACAAAATCCTTTAATAAAATTTGTTTTAAAAAAAGAAGCAGGGGATGGTATGAAACTATTGAGCTGTGAAAACAGGCATCCAGCAAGTTAATACAGGTAGTTCTCGTTTAGCAACTGCCTCATTTAGTGACTATTCGCAGTTACGATGGTGATGAAAAAGTAACTTTATGAATAATCTTACATTTATGACCTTCACAGGTCTGTAAATCAAAGGAAAGTGGAAGTAAGATCATAAGTACAGGCAAGGCTTCACTTAGTGACAGCTTCACTTAATGACCAACTTGCCAATTCCAATTGTGGTCGCTAAATGAGGACGATCTGTAGATGCCAACTATGTCCATTAGTGCAGAAGAAATAAGATGGCAACAGTCAAGAACTTTCAAACAGCTTCAGGAAATAATTAAGATCATGAAAATCCAATATTGATTGAAGACCATCATCCATTACTGGAACAGTGAAGTACCTCAAGTAGAAATTGATGTTATTCCCCATTTGTAAAAGAAGACAAACTTTCCAATGCAACAGTGGGAGGGCCATGGAACCAATAGAGTGGGTCTGGTACAGATTGGCCCAAAATTCAATGATATGCCCTTTGACAGTAATAGAAAATATGCAGGTCAGTTGAAATAGCAGCTCAGATACCTTGAATTATGTCAGTCACAAAATGGCAGAAGCAGACAGGCAGATAGCAGAAGACATCATCAAGAATCCTGGCCTGGTTCTTTAGTGTAAGACAAGACAAAAGACCTTCAGGAGTTCCTAAATAAAGGCCAATGTGAGCATTCAGTAGTAAAAGCTGACACTGGGAAAAGCTGATCAGTGCACTTGTGAGACCAAGAGTGGAAGTGGAAAGAATCAAGTACATTTTTTTCATGGTACACCCCATACAATATATATGCAATAGTATTCAATTTCTGACCTCTATCATCAGCCTTCTTATTAGATCTCTTCAATCCCTCTTTGGTCATCAGTGTTGAAAGTAGAGGTGATTTATTTCGGGCTCTGTTGTGAGTTAGTTAAAAAAGAAGGGAAGCTAGTACTTTTCCCGCACAATGTTCTGAAATGCTGCTATTCCATGGAGCTTGTAGAGGTATGTTTCCTCATTAGATGGACCTCCTACTTCACCCTGCCTCACAGCTTATGGATTTTGGTTACTCTAATAAATCCTTTGAGGGGAATAATGGTTTGATGACTTTATATTCAATCACTCAGATGCTTTTTCATGAAACCAGGCAAACAATCAAAACATGAAACAAGGAGGTAGATGATATAGTTTTCTTCTTCTGTGGAGTGCAGATGAAGGCTTTTTTTTTTTTTACTCTAGACCTTGTGGCAGCTGGGGGTAGAAAACTAATTTTCTTCTCCCTTCAACAGTTCCTTGTTTCTTGTTCCCAAAGTTTCAAGATCAGTAGCAGTGAAAATGATTGTGAATGCATTTAGAATTCATTCTCAAGGGTTGGGAAGTGAAAATGGTGGCATGTGTTTGTGGCATGCATTTCTTCAGATAAGCGCATCTTCCCATTAGATTCTGAGTTAGGAAATTCTGGATTGTTCTATATCATTAGGATCACATCATAGTTTATGATCCTGACTTGTGCACTACTAACAGTGACCATGCTAGGGAAGAAAAGGAGAGCACTTGAGTCTCAAGCTTGCTGCATCTCAGGAACATAATGCTGAATCATAGTTTAATGATACCTTTTAATCAGCCCAGGAAAGAGTCCAGGTTCTCCCAGTACACTTTATAGTTGAGTTAGAATTTTAATTTAAGTCTTCCCAATCTTAGCACAACACTATCACCACGACATCACCCAGTCTTCCATCTGGCTGCTTGCTTGTTTATTTATTTGTTTGCTAGTTTTCTTAATTATTTTAAATAATTCTGTAATTTTGTTCAGTGACCTTTTAGTGTTTTTTCATTACCTGTCATTGTGGCATAGAACTAACAGCAATCAAACAAAAATAAGTTCAGAGTCAGAACTGGGGACCCAGTATAATTGAAACCCATTCAAGCTTTAAATTGAAACTTGCCATTCAACCATCTCTTTAATGAGACTGGCATGGTATAGGTTGCACCAATAGAAGAATCCCTGCTGAAGTTATGCAACGTTAATCTAAAACCCAACAGAAAGCAGGCAGAAAGATGTAGATTTTGAGACACTACTACAAAACATAACACTTATGATAGGGATGAACCTATATAAACATTAGAAACCTTGTGTTAGTTTTCTGCAACAGCATTTGCCATATCAAACCACAAGTCACCTTATACACTATTATGCACACACACTTTACTTTCAAGCTGAGAGAGCTGTTAGAGGATCCAGGGTGCAATTTCTTTATGACATTTCTGTGATAAAAAGGCATTTACTCATAGATGCAAGCTGAGCATAAAATGTGGGTTCACATCATTAGCAATCTAACAAAGTTCTGTTCTATATCAGATTCAAAAGGAAACTTTAATGCAATAGGACTTGATAAAGAGAGAAGTCTCCCTCCCTCCCGTCCGAGCAAAGTTTGATATTCTGCATGCATACACTTCATTCCCTTCCTCTTGATAAGCCATCAGCTTCCATCTTTGAGCACTGAAATATAATCATGGTCAGCAACTACTCCTCTGTCGAGTCTTAGCAGCATTATTTCAAGGCACTCAAATGAATAGCTTCACCTACAGAAATCTTCCACTCAAGAATAGGATTCAATAGTAACTGATGGGATATCTTAGTCAGTCCTGAAACTTGTAAAAGTATTAAGAGCTATCTAATTCTTCCAGTGACTCCTTAACCAGACAAAAATTTCCATCCATCTACAGGAAGGAACTCAGTGTATAAAAGCAAAACAACCTGGAAAAATAGAGTTGCTGGCAGCGGTGGCAATAGTCATGAGTCAGAACCCTGTTTAGGATGATTCTACCCTACAAAATGCAGGTCCCACTTAAAAAAAAAAAAGTAAAATTGATAACTGTCTGCAAATAACTTTTGTAGACTTCTGCTGCATTATAGACACTTTGCTAACATATCTGGTATGCTGATATTGGCTTGCTAGGGATATCAGCAAAAGGCTTTGAGATACTTGCAGGTTCTGAGCCACATCTGTACAGATTAGAACATTTGTGTAATAACCCTTTGACATTTTTTTCAAAAGAAAAATTAAGCTGGTAGACTTTCATGTATTTTATGTATATATATGCATATGTACACATCTTGGTCAAAGACCACAATGAAGATTTACCTTACCACTACTCAAGAAATTATGTAACAGAGACCATTAAAATTCTGAGCCAAAAACAAGTCTACAACTCCTAAATCTCATATCTACGTTTCATACAAAAACTGCTGCAGGAAACCCCACCTATGACTAGGTACAGCTATCACC